ATAAAGGGCATAAAAAAAGACTAAAAGGTTTCCCACATCCCAACAATAATTAATTAGTAGTAGTAACAGTGGGAAACCAGTAGCAATTTTAAACATATACACATAAATCCAGGAATACCTTTTACAAGGCATGTGTAAGATTTACCCGGAAACACAACAAAACTTGGCTTAGAGACATAAAAGAGATCTGAGTAAATGAACATACATATCAAATCCTGGATGGAAAACTCTAATATGTAAACATGTACTTTTAAAGGTTAATTTATACTGAAATTATTTAGTTTGAAATTTGAAAATCCCCAAAGAATTTGGGGTATGGAGAATTGAAAGATTAACTATAAAATTCATTAAGAAAAATAAACTGGTAAAATAAAAAAAAAGGAGGAGGGAAGAATAGGGATTTGCTTTACCAGATCCTAAACTGCATGAAACCACAATGATTAAAACTGTACACTGGTGCAGGAAGAGCAGACAGATCAGTGGAACAGAAGAACAAGTCTAGAACCAAACTTAGCCATAAACAAGAATTTAGTATACAAAGAGGCAGCAACTTTAAATAGTGTGAGAACATCGATTCTGTAAAGGCAAATGACAAACAGGACAACTGTATGATACCTGAAGGGACAACACCGTTTTTTTTTTTTTTTTTTCAGCCACATGGCATGTGGATCTTACTTTCCCAACCAGGGATTGAACCCACGCCCCTGCATTGGGAACACGGAGTCTTAACCTCTAGACTGCCAGCAAAGTCCACCAAGGGGCAATTTCTTTCATACACACCCTTCATATTTTAGAATCTTTTCAAAATAAAGAAAAAGATAAATGCTCAGTAGAGAATTGGGCAAAGGTTATTTAACAGGCTTCCCTGGAAGCTCAGACAGTAAAAAATCTGCCTATAATGCAGGAGACCTGGGTTGGATTCCTGGGCTGCGAAGATCCCCTGGAGAAGGGAATGACAACCCACTCCAGTATTCTTGCCTGGAGAATCCCATGGACAGAGGAACTTGGTGGGCTATAGTCCAGGGTGTTGCAAAAAGTTGGACACAACTGAGCAACTAACACTTATTTAACAGGCAATTCACACACACACATACAAACTGTCAAAGATAATGAAAACTGCTAAACTGTCTTAGTAATACAAGAATGCAAGTTAAAACAAGTTGTGTGTTGGCTTTTTATCTATCTAATTTATAAAAGTCTTAAGCTAAAATATAAACTTGTGAAGGTAGAAGGAAAATATGGCCTATAATCTGCCTGGTGGGCAATCCAGCAGTCAACATCAAAAACCACAACCATTTGGATACCATTCATTTCACAACCATGAACTTACCCTAAGGAAATAATTATGATGTTGGACAGAGATTTATCTATAAGATAGTTTAAGGAAGCATCAATTATATTAGCAAAATACTGGGAAGAACCTAAATTAGGAGACTGGTTATATGAGTTATGGCACACCATATAATGTAATATTGATTTTTAAAAAGTATGCACAAAAGTCTAGTGGATATAGAACTTAGCAGGAATGTTGACAGTTGTTATTGCTGCAAGGTCTGTTACTGGTGATTTTTATTTTCTTTGTGCTTTTCTGAACTTTCCAACTTACTACACTAAACTATTTTAAATGTTTCTTTCCAAAAAGCCATTGAAAGATACATTTCAAAGTTTCACTGATCTCCTTGGGCTTCTAGAATTACGGATGATTTAATTTTTAGTATATGATTTTCTATATTTCTCAAGGCTTCCCCAGTGGCTCAGGAGTAAAGAATCTGCCTGCAATGCAGGGGACGCAGGAGATGCATGTTCGATCCCTGGGTGGGGAAGATCCCTTGGATCTGTCCAGTATTCTTGCCAGGAAAAACTCATGGACAGAGGAGCCTGGTGGGCTATGGTCCACGTGGTTACAAAGAGTAGGTCACGACTGAAGCGACAGAGCACACAATATACTATATTTCTCAAAATTTTCTATGAGATCAGTTTTTAAAAGCGAAAGAAAGACCACACACTCACCATGGGTGTTTCCTTAGGAGGCTAGACTCACAAAATCAGTTAAAAAGCAGAGAAGCACATGCCAAGTGAGAGATGTATCTACAGTGACACTAGCTGAGCCCTCCGCCCTGGGGGCTTGGGTTCTGTTGGGCTCTGGATCCCAGCACCAGGTACCCAGCATCTACGGTGCTCCACGAATGCGTAGTCTATCGAACGAAAATCAGCGCTACCGCCTCTGCCACTACCACCTCCAATCAGCGCTACCGCCTCTGCCACTACCACCTCCATCTCCACCATTCTAGAAATCTTTTAATTGTCCCACCACTGCCAAGATTATCAAAGGGGCAGTTTGAATATAATGTCCTCATAGTAGAGTCCTGATGCACACCAACTATTCAGAATCTCTAGAAAGCCACAGAAAAGGTTTTGGTGTGAAAAAACTTAAACACAAATCTAATTAACTCAGCAATGTTAAAGGGGAGAAAAAAATCCAATTATTAGAATTCTTTTCCTCAATTGCTTTTTTTTTGAGAGCCATGTCAATCTTTTTTTTTTTTTTAAATGTGATGTTAAGGAAAAAAATGGCCTAAGTGTATTAGCATTTTGCAAGTTGGTCTTCTTTTGTAGGATTCAGCTACGAAAACCAAGGAGACTGCAGCTGTTCAACTGACCATCAAACCTTAAAATCATAAGCATCTACTCTTTACAAGAGAAGAACCCAACAACTTTATCTCCCTCCCACCTCCCCGACCAGCAATTGCAGCAACCAGCACTTGGTTAAATTAACTAAATGTGAGTCTTTACTTCCCTCTCTTCTGCTCACATGCTTTAGACTAGAGGAAAAATGATCAAGACCATAGAAGACAAAATTCCAAAAAAGGAAGGACAATAAGGAAACTAGATCAGTAGCCCTTCAATAAGCAAATGTTGACTGGTCACAATCTGAATTATAAGCAACCGGCCCTGTGATGACTTCAAGTCCAGTTTTCTAGAACCTTTACCTCCATTGCTTCCTGTGCAGACTGTCTGTATGTTTCTCATTAGACAAACTACACTTCTTTAAGATGGAGACCATGCTGATTTCATACCCCAGGATGAACTTACTTAGTACCCCAGTACTGAGCACAAGCTCTTAAGACATGGCAGGCAGAAAATTAACATTCTTGAACTGCTAAAATAAATGATAAAATTGACATCCTCTGGTATTCCTGCACAGGTGAAGCACAAAGCTGAGTACACCTAAGAGCCCTTACCTGAAGGGATGACATTTTAATAATACAAATAAATGCCTATGAGGAGGAGAACTAGGAGGCTTTTCAGCAGAAACAGTCCCAGTTAACCAGTTCCCCTAAAAAGCATGGAGATGTAAGAATCTAAAGATGAGAAAGAGAAGCCACATCAGACTACCTTTCCGCCTTCAGAAGAGATACTCTGGAGTTTCCAGTTCATCACACACACACACACACGTAATGCTAAATGTTTGGCCTGTTCCAAGATTATCCACACACACACACACGTAATGCTAAATGTTTGGCCTGTTCCAAGATTATCCTCCCTTGTCAGGTATGGTATTCCCTTTCACTGATGAAACATGCCATTCAGAACCTGAGTATCAGAGTCAGACTCTCTTCAAAGAGGGTTTGCATGAAATAACCACATGTGTTTAGAGAACCATCATCACGCATCATCCTGTTCATGCAGAGCACCGAGAAAGCACTCAGTCTGGATGGGCAGCCTGTACTTCAAACTGATGGGAGTTCAGAGACCAGAATGAGGCTTGTTCAGTGGTCTGCAGCCCTGGCTGAACATGAGAATCACCTGGGGTGCTTTTAAAAAAATACTAGTGCAGGATCTCAACCCAAATCAATTAAATCAGAATTGCTAGGGGTGAGGTCTGAGCATTGGTGTGCGTGTTTTTTTTTTTTTACCTGAAGTTCCACAAAGAATTATTAACTTTTTTCAGCATGAAAGTGGTTATGTTTTGTATTACTAGAGGTAGAAAATGTGCTTTTAAAAACACTCGACAGAGAGTTTATTATACAAGATTGGTAAAATGCTGATAATTGTGGAAGCTGTGTGATGGATACATAGAAGTGGATTACATATTCACTCTACTTTTGTATATTTGAAAAATTCTATAATAAAAAGTTACTCTATAAAATGAGCAGAAATAAAAATGTGTTCTCTTACCCCAAAGAGTATATGACTGTGTGTGCATGCTAAGTTGCTTCAGTTGTGTCTGACTGTTTTTGACCCCATGGACATGACTGTTTTTGACCCCGGCTCCTCTGTCCATGGGATTCTCCAGGCAAGAATATTGGAGTGGGGAGCCATGCCCTCCCAACTCACATGAGTGTATGTGTATACTATATTTAATGGAAAATAATTTTTTAAAAAACATTAAAATAAAAGCTTTGCAAGTGATTCTAACGTGCAACCAGAGTTGAGAGTGACTAGGCCACATCATTTGAAAAATAAGGAGTCAAATCAGCAGCAGAAGGGAAGTCAGGTGAGATGTGGTAAGATGGAGCCCAGGGAGGGTGGCCCGCCTTGTCTGAGTGCCTCACTATCTCCAATTTCTGCTTTGCATATATTTACCTAAAATTTGAGCATCTTTATTCACAACTGAACTTCTGTATGTGTATGTATATATATATCTATGTGTGTACATGATTTAAGACAGCACTACCAATTATATTCAGTAGCATGTAATTTTTGAAAAACACTATTTGCGGAAATATTACCTCTGACTTAAAACACTTTGGCCTTAGAATAGTCACATGGAAAGCCCTGCTGGGGAACAGCAGGCTGCAGGGGTGAGGGTTGGGGGTGTCATCTTGGGAACTGGTGAGCCCGTCTATCTAAGGGCTGTACAGGCAGTGCTGATTAGAGGGTCCTGAGTGAACTTTAATATCAGGAGCTCATTGTGAGAAGTCAAGAGCAGCAACCAAGTGTCAATGAAAAAATACATCAAAGCTCCCCCCATCCCACCCCCGGAGCCCCCAACTCACCTATTCTTCTCCATTTCATTGTGAGTCGATCTGAAAGAGGGAACAATAAGAGAAACATTATTCTTGTTTTAAAGGACTGCTCCAATGCCAACACAATTATTTTAACTTCTTTCTCTCTCAAGCTGGAGGGAGAGAAGACAGAGGAAGGGCTCTACTAAAGAAATTAGTCCCTCTGGGGAAATAGATAAATGTAAATATCTCAAACAGCATTCAAGGAGAAGGGAGAAACTGAGAGGCATGCATTCCCTAGTGGAAAAGTAATCCATTTTAAGAAAGGAAATAAAAGGGTTCTATTTATACAAAGGGAAAACAGCTGCAAAATGTGATGCGAATTTGGGTTATATAATACCACAAGGCTTTCTTTAGGCTGAGCGTGGAACACCAGAAATTTGGCATCCCCACCCAACTCTGCAGTTCTCTAGGTGTACTGTACACCAAAATTGTATGCTAAGTTGTCTGACTATAGGACACAGTTTTATTTTTTTATTTTTATTTTTTTCCATTTATTTTTATTAGTTGGAGGCTAATTACTTTACAAGGACACAGTTTTAAAAGGATAAATATAACCTTTCTTCTCTCAATCTTTCTGCTCCTTGAGGTTATTTTATGGCATGCAACCTCCCCAAAGATGCTACTGTTGAAGAGCTACCAAATGTTTTTAGGAAGGGGATTCCAAAACTCAGTTCAATGTAAAGATGACAGGCTGGTTAAGGCAGCCCTTTGGGTGGAATCTGAGGTCCAGCTTTGCCACTGACTGATACTGCGGAAGAAATAAAAACGCTTACCATCCTGTCCTTTACTCTTTTGTAAAATGGAAATAAAAATGATTGCCAATTATCTACAGAACACATGTGGATCAGTGAGGTAGCAACTGTAAAAGTGATGAGAGAGGCTTGGATGAAAGCACAGGTGTGTGTGAAATCAGACTATTAGTGTGTTTATAGCTGCCCTTGAATATAAGGTCTGGCCTGTGGATTTATGGACAGGTTTTCACAGATGTCACAAGAAGTCAGTCAGTGTGGCCATCTCAGTGTCCATCTCACATAACTCATCCCAACTAGTGAAAAAAAACTTGAGGAACCTTCCAGCATTATAAATGAACTGAATCTTGACCTTAGTTTTGCAAATTCTCTAGAATCTAATCAGTTCAGGAGAGATGACGCCCTGGCTCAGGTCAAGAATTCTGTGGGGCAATAATTGGAACTATACTGGGCATTGGAAATAAATTCTCACAGTAATCAAGGAGAAACCATACTTTTGTGAATGCTCAACCACGCATTCACATCAAGGGGCAACACCATCACGTTCATTCACACCAGAGACTGGTTGTGGGATCTGGGGCATTCTTGAAATGGGAAATTTCTAATCCAGCACTAAACTTCTTTTCCACAAGGCTTCTGGGATACCAATTTTCATTCACAAGGAAAAATAAACAAGACAATAATGACAGTACTTTAAATTTTAGAATATTTGTTTTCTAGATAAGGGATATATGAACCTTAAAACTGGTTAACTTGAAAGCTTTAAATTGATTCGCTTGGTTACCCTTCAGTGTTCTTCAGTTATGTTTTTCTGATGTATACTTCACTTCCTGCAATGGCCAGCAGGATATCACAGTTAAAAAAGAGTCTGGCCTGCAACTGCAAACCTTTGGCTTGATAGCACATGGCATTCTGATTTTAACAGAGAATAATAAGTTCAAAGTCTGACAGATTTTTTAGATGGATGAAAATATATGATGACAGGTGGTCAAAATTTCCCTGTTTAACTGCAGACAAGGACCATTCTGAGGAGGTGGAGAAGAGAAGGGTGGATATTTGAAAAGAACATGGCGTCTGATTACAGAAAAATCAGAGCACCACAAGTTACTCTTATCCCATCTGGATTCTTTGAAGATACATATAAAAAAATTCAGAATTCCCAAGATTATCTTTTTTACAAATTCCATAAGCAGCACAACTCCTTCCAAACTTTGAACAGTTTTGGAAACTATGGATCTTATTCGATTACTTAAGAGTGTTGAGCACATAGTGATTTTTACAAGGGGACTTATACCTAACAGCTAGGACATTACTGAAGTACATTTGGTTTAGTGAAACTAAATTTGTCTTTAATAAAAGGGAGGCCATTCAAAAAAGGCCGTCCAGAGACTCCCTGTCAACTCTGTTGATGGGAAAACATTTATATTTTTAATTTAAGAATCATAAGAATATATAGACACCTTGTATCAAAATCATTTTCCATGTGATTACTGAAAAGATTGGATAACTCTGGACTCATTGATAAAGGTCAAATGTCATCACTTAAAAATATATTTTAACAAAAATGTAACTAAGCCAAACCAGTCCCTGGGTTAAAAAAGACTCACCCTGTCAAGTCAGCTATATGACCACTGTCTCATAAAAGAACTGGGTGAGAGGGCTGAGCTTCCTCTTTCACATGAGTGCCAATGCCTGCTTCACCAATGTAACAAAACACACTTTTAAAAACTCTGGATTTCAAGTCTAATTGTTTAAGTAACTAATTTAAATAATCAGTAGGAAAGAAAAAAGGATTCCATCTTCCTGTAGTTCTCCAGATGATTCGAGAACAATCAATATTCACAATTTCACTTGTTTTTTTTAAACAAGCAATTAGAGAAATTTAAGATCTGCATTTTCAGTTTCCAAGAAGTTTTCTATGCAGCTAAATCTTATTTTTTTAAAATTGTTGTCCAAGGAAGAGTAACCCCCAGATGATACAAGCAAAGAGCCCAGCACTTCAACCTGAATTAACAAGAATACACTGTTACCAATGGTTACAAAACCAGAAGTAATCTATAGCTCTTAAATCAGTTCAAAATTCTGACCATACATGGCCTTGGATGTAAGTCTGATTCAAACCAAGGGGTCAAACTGCATTCTCTGGGGAGATGTCTCATTGCTCAGGTAAGGGTCATTCCAAACAGGTCATGAAGGAAGTGATTACATTTAAAGAAAACAACCTGCTGTTGCTTCATCTGTTTTGCTTGGTGCAATCTCCAGGTTTAATCATGGTCTCGCAGAGATCCCTGCACCACTTAAATTACTGCACGAATTGATCATTAGTCAAGAACATGAAAAACTGTGAGAGCCTCCTGTTTTTAACCATGGAAAGCAAACCAAATCCATTGACAGAAATAATAGAGCTTTCCCCCAATCCAGAGTTGCAATCATTTTCCCAGGAATAAAGCTGGATACTAAAGAAAAGAGAAAGAATCTATTTCTTGAATTGAAATTCTCAACTATCATTATTTTTCTTTCCTAATCACTTTTTAGAGAATGGAATGGCAATCTACTCCAGTATTCTTGCCTGGAGAATCCCATGGACTGAGGATCTGGCGGGCTACAGTCCATAGGGTCGCATAGAGTCGAACACAACTGAAGCAACATAGCATGGCATAGCATGGCAATCACCTTTTGGGGCCAAGCTACTTCTCATCGACAACATCCCCTTCTTCTCCTCACCACTGAACATCCCTTCAACAACTTTTCTGTGAAACTTAGGAAAAAACAAAGTACTAAGGATTAAGTCTTGACTATTAATATGAACAATTCCTCTCAAATCATGAGTGGACAAGAGTAAAAGTAACAAATGAACTACACTTTTCCATAAAAATAAAGCCAAAGCCTTCACTGTCTTGTCAAAAAGTTATTAAAAAAATACTGTAACAAAAAGCAACACAGATATTGCTTTATACCACTGCACACTACAAGTCAGCATTAACCTTCTTCTTAAAGGCCGTCAGTACTCGTGCATAGATCTACTTGCTACCACCTTCAGATAATGCCAAAGGTGGGAGGGAAAGGAAAAACCACCAGGAAACTAATTAACAGGTTCATCCTTCCCATGCCTTCCTATTCAAGAGCTTGGCACATATGTGCTGCTCACTCATATCCTGTGGTTCTTCCAATGCTACGGACAATGGGGTGAACCAAGGACAGAAGAGGAAGGAAAAACAAGGGAGTTAAAGGTTTAGGTGGGAAACTTCTGGCTTTTAGTAGTCTGTATAATGTCATAGATGCTAACCAAATACAGTTATTTGCAGAGAGTATTCATGAGAATGGGAGATGGACAAGGATTCTAAATCAGTAAGGAAAATGTCAATGATTTTCAATTACTGGAATAAAAGGTATAATTCAATGAGTCTAATAAAAACAGATTTCCCAGCTAATGTATATATTAAGGTCAAAGAGGGGAAAAAGCGGGTGCAACAGCATTAATGGAGTACTCATTTATATCAGGAAGTACATTCAGGGTTTTATTATGTGATTTCATTGACCATTAACCAAATACTTTCCAGTGAGACTTAACAAATTTCAAAAACTACAAGATTAACATAAAAAACTTGTAGCATATGAATATTTTAATATTATATCAATCTATTCCTCCATCACCAACAAGCAGGTTTGAACCTCAATCATTCCTCTTTGCCATTGTAAATCGAGTGACAGATTAACAGACATATCACTGTATTTAATTTACATGTCAAATATGAAATCCTACCACCTATGCCAAATCAGTACTTTAACATATTTATAAAATCTTCACTATGTAAAGTAAAAAGTGGGTAATGTCCAGGATTTTCAGCTATAGAAAACTTGCCCTGAATCTGCAACTTCTGAAGACAAAATACTGTCACTGAGGCTAATCTCACTTGAAGTTTCCACAGATTTTTTGTTCCAAAAGAGATGAAAAGCAAAATTAAGTTTTGGAAAATAAAAGTTCATAAAGAAATAGAAAACACTTCCATTGCTCTTTTCAGTCCCCTCAACTCAAACAGAAGCGTTTCTTCCAATGCCTTAGGACTATGTATACATTACTGAATCACGACTGCCACTTCATTTACGGGGTTAAAACCCGGTATCATCTGCGGCATAACCTAAAAGAGAAGGGAAATATTTACCAAATTACCTGCTACTGCTGTTATTCTTCTTGGATTTGCTCCTCCGTTTTAAGGCATCTCTGTCCTTGTTATTGTATGGTAACATGGAGGCATAACCATGTTCAGCTTCTAGAAAACCGGAGGATCCAGTTAATAAATGAACCCAGAACAGTCAACACTCTCTCCCCTTCACAATATTTCCTTTTAAAAATGGATTTATTTTTCATTAAAAGAAGACTGTGGAAATAATTAAAAGGAGCAAGGTGGAATTCTTAGAACAATGATTGTTTTTTTAATTGAGTGAATACCCTCAGTTCGGAGCAGGTGTAAGGAGCATTCCAGCTGCTCATTGTTGAGAAAGACACAGCAAGTCTCATGGAGCCTGGGTTTCCCATTGGCAACGTCCAGCAGGTTGGTGTATATTAAGTGGGACCGGCCTCAAACGAAGGTGCGGGGCCAGACACCGGGAGCCAGAGCCGAGGACGGAGGATGCGGGGCAAGGGAGGCGCTGCTCCGCCGACTGGGAGACCCGGCGCCAGGCCCACTTGGGGGCGGACCGGGAAGAGCGGGGTGAGGTAAACCAAGCGCTTGGCTGAAGGGGCCCCGGGCACCCCACTCGCGACGGGATGCGGAGGGGGAAGCGCTCAGGATCCCGGGAACAGCGGTCCCTTTCCATTCCCATTCATTGACTTTGGGGCAGCGACGGCCTCCCTTCGGTCCGCGCGTGGGGAAAGCTGGAGGGGTTGGGAGCGCTCGCGGGTCGCGCTCTCAGCTCCTCCAACCACCCCCGGAGCGGCTGGGCGCCTGGATCCGCTGCCAGGCCCCTCAGAGCTCCCGGCACTAGCTCAGGCCGGACCCCTCCCGTCCCCGTGCACCTCTCTCCCGTCGCTCCAGGTAGTCGGCCGCCTCCAGCAGCATCTGGATGTTCATCCGAACCGCCGCCGCCATTCTGCACAGGGGGCCGGAGCCACGGGACCAACCCCCACTGGACACAGGCTCGCCGCCGCCGCCGGACACCCGCGCCCCGCTGTGGACCCCGCAGAGCAGGGCTGAGAGAGCCTCTCTGGCGACCACGCTCGCCGGAAGGGGGAGGGGACCGGCGAGCTGGGCACCACCGACACCGTGACAGAACCTACAGAAGAGCAGCAGCCGCCACCGCCGCGGAGTGTTTATCCCCGACTCACCGTTCCCCCGCCCCCAGGCCCTTCTCTTGACAGGCCCACTTCGGCTGCATTCCTCATTGGGCGCCCTAAAGAATTCCCCGCCCCTGGACCTGTCCGATTGGGGGAAGGCACTACGGCCCCATCCCTCAGAGTCCGCTCCTCTCCCTGGTTGGTCACGCTTGACAAGGCCCGGGCTCCACCTCCTCTTTCCAATTGGTGACAGGATTCTCAACTCCGCCTCGTGCTCCTTCCCTGTTTTCCATTGGTTCTATATGGACAACCGGGCCCCCTTTTGCTTTGTTAGTATTGGCCAAGAGCTACAGAAAGCAAGCCACTTTGCCTGTCTCCCATTGGTGGAACCTTCCGACACCGCCCAGCTACGATGACGTCATCTGTGCCCTGGCTAGCGATCCCTGAATGGCTGGTGGTTAGACGCCGGGCTATTCCTACCCGAATCTGGCATTGGATCGCAGGGCTGACCCGGGCACCAGCAGCGCTCATTCACCGACCCCGCCTCTGACCTGTTGCCGGAACCTGTCTCCGGGTAAAAGTTCCGGGGATCTGCTGGACGTCCCTAGAGTGGAAGCTGGCACCGCGCTTTACCTGGGCGCTCTGCCCTGCTCGGGTTCGGGGCCAGATCCCCGGGCCTGCTAGCTGCGGCCCGGAGGTTCCAGGCTTTCCGCGACCGAAGGCCCCGCCGACAGCCCGGCAGGACGGTGGGCCTGGGGCTCCGGCTAGCGCCACGTGGCTGTAGCACTCGGCGGGGGAGGCTGTCTCGTGTTCAGTGCTCGCCACCCAGCGTTTTTCTCTCTCTCCCCAGAAAGCACTGGAATCGTGAGGATGTACACCCCCCCCCTAAGCGCTGGCCAATTACTCCCTCTTGCGAGTGGATTTTAACAGCTCACAAACTTCCTGTACCTGCAGACTGACGCCGAATTCTGAGATTTGTTTGACATCTCTTTCAGAGTCTTTCCTTCCCTTTTAATTCTAGAGGAAAACATTCAAAAAGAATACTTCCTATTCAAGACGGCTGTAAATGATGTTTTTGTGTGTGTGGTACCACTATAAATGTACGTAGAACAGAACTAAAATTTTTAAGAATTGTTCCTTAAGCTATCTGAGACCCAAGTTAACGCTGTTAATATACTGACAGCTCCATTTTAAAAAACTGAAAAAAAGCTCTTGGTAAATTGAGACTCCTGAATATAGAAATGAGTAAAGCATGAACATATTTAACAAAGCTTTTAAGAAGTTTATTGTTGGCCAATATGTGAAAACAATAGCTTGTCAGGTAATTTACCTATATTATTGCTAATCCTCAATATAACCCCATTAGATAGGTTAATTATCTACATTATCTATCTGCACATAAGGAAACTGATGCCCAGAGAAGCTAAATGACTTTCTTAGACATCCATTCAGCCAGAAATGGAAACTGAACCTAGATCTGTTTCACCCAAAGCCCATACTATAGGTGATAGTTTTTCTAAAAAACAGGAATTAAGAACTGGATCTCCATGAGTCACAAACACTGACAAACACGGGGGAAAGAAAGAAAAACATGTAATTATGATGGTAAGTTTTAAGTATGTCTTTTCTAATGGTTGATAAATCCATTAAACTCAAAAGAAGAAGAATAAATAGAGTAACCTAGTCCTGACATATAGAACACATATTTTCTGGTTTTAATGGTTAATTGGATCTAAAAGCTGATTCTTTACAGCAATTAATAAATACACTGAAGATAAAAGTTTTCAAAAAAGCACAAAAAGCTAGAATTGGGGATATAATTTTTAACTGCACATTGTTTGTAAAACAAATCTGAAAATAGTAATGAATATAGTTTTTACTGATAGTAAAAACACTGATTTCATTCTTCATTTTGGATTCTGTATACTTCTATATTTTCTCTTTGATTTTATTATGAACATTTAGCATCTCTTTATTCTTTCTCTTACCCTCAGCTCTTTTTTTTAAAAAACCCAGTCTTATTTCAAAATCATGATCCTTCCCCTGGAATTAGCCTGATTGAAAATCACACTTATAAAATTAAAAAAGGAAAAATGGTTGAAATCTGAGTCAGATATAGCAAAGGAACCATTTAAACACCTACAAGTTTTGCTTAAATCCCAAACAAAAATAAATTATATAATATATAAAATCAGAGAATTAAGACTAAGGAATGGACCTCTTTCTGTTCCCTGGCAGCGGAGGAAGAAATCAGTAAGCCAGTAACACCAACTAGGAAATTAGTTAGTATCATGAAGAACTCCAAATGGTGTCTGATGCCACCTACTGGACATCAAGCAGGAAGTACAAAACAAAGGGTTTTTTCTTGTTTTTCTAGCAATTATTTTATACAAATATATTACAATGACCAGTTAGATAATCTGAAAGTATAGATTTTGAAGAATTGAAATCCTAAAATGAAGAAGTGATTACCCCCAGCATCTAGCACTTCAACGGCATTACACAAGCACTAACAGATGGATAGGCAAAACCCTCAGAATAAGAACTTGCAATTCCAGAATGTTTTAACCTAAATTTTATGACCAGAATTTTAAGTAAAAAGCTATATGAAATAGGATAAACATAGGCTGGCAACAGTTTACATCCTTGAGCAGGTATTAAGCTAAACTGGCAGAACTGGAAACTAAAAATATATCAAAAATGCTTCGGAAGCACAAAAGATTGTATTTGTCAAATAATCTTTACTGTATTTTTTTAAAAAGCCCTAGTTTCCTTCCTCTGAGGGGTTTATACTCTAGGTGGGCAAGGGACAGTATGTAAATACCAGTGCTGAATGGCAGGTTTATTAAATGCAGTGGAACTTCTGACAGACAGGTAGGTGCATTTCAGTTGAGTACCTCAGAGTGCAGAGAAGACAACTGTTGGTATTCTAATCCTTTAACTGTCTAAAAAGTTCCAGAACTGCTGAATGCTGAATTAAAAAACACTATTTATAATGACATTAAAATGAATTTTGTTTTCTAAGTTTCTGAGGAACTGATTTTATTCTTCGAAGTCTAAAAATCAGGACTGTGATTTACTGTCTTAGTATTAATCCCTTTCTTTGTGGCTACCTGGGACACTCTAACATAATGATATACAGTATCGCAAAATTAAAATTTAAAAACCTTTAAAAACACTGATCTGCAAAAGTTAATTACTCCAGAAATATTTGATACTTTTAAAAACAGAGCAATGGCTAAATGGGTACACACATTACACAGAACACTATGCAGAAGTTAAAAAAAAAAAAAAGACGAGTATATATATATATATATATATATATATATATATATATATAGGCAAGGAAACATCTCCAAGGCAGTGCTGAGTAAATACCTGAGTTATAAGATGATCCCTGTAGCATATTATCTGTGTAAAAAAAAACAAGAAACAAACCAAACACCTCAAACTAGGCTTTCCCCCTCATTTCTAACACTAAGTCTGCTACATTATATATATATATATACATATATATATATATATATATATATATATATATATATACACATATACAAGGATGCACGTCTGGAAGGAAACACTACAAAGGATTCACAGTGAATCAGGACTGCTCAGAAGGGATTAAGCAGTCATGTTTTAAAATTTTTGTAGGAAAAATGTGTTCAAGAGTTGGATAACTAAAGGTTAACTTAAAAACTTAGGGAAGTGGAATGAAGTTTAAGTCAGAAAGAGGAAGAGAAATATCACATATCACATATGTGGAATCTAAAAATAAATGGTACAAACAAACCTATTTAAAAAACAAAAATAGAGTCACAGATGCAGAAAACAAACTTACCAAGAGGAAAAGGGGGGAGGGATAAATTGGGGGACTGGTATTGACGAATTCATACTACTATATATAAAATAGATATGAACCTCCTGTATAGCACAAGGGACTCTACTCAGTACTCCATAATGACCTATATGGGAAAAGAATCTTAAAGAGTGGATATATGTATAACTGATTCACTTTGCTGAAGAGCAGAAACTAACACAACATTGTAAATCAACTATACTCCAATAAAAATAAAAAAAAAAACACTAAGAGAAGTCCTTAAGTGAAGAAATGTTACTAGATTACATTCAGGTACAGGTATTCCTTGAGTGCTTTACTGGTTGCCAGGCACTTGTGGTGCTGGGGCTGCAGCAGCTAACAAGACAGAAACCCTGCTTCTGAAAGGTCAAAGACAGTAATACAGAGTATGTTAGGCACTGATAAACTATAAGGAAAAGGAAACTGCAGAGGATGTGGAGAAACTGGAACCCTCACAAATTGCTAGTGGGAATATAAAACAGTGTAGTTGCTTTGGAAAACAGTGCTTCAAAAAGTTAAACACGGGAATTTAACTATATAACCCAGTAATAGCACTCCTAGCTATATACCCAAGAGAACTGAAAACATTTGTTCATACAAAACCTGGATACAAACGTCCATAGTAGCATTATTCATAATAGCCAAGAAAGTGGAATAACCCAAATTCCCATCAACTGATGAATTATAAATTACAATGTGACATGTGGGGGCTTCCCAGGTGGCACAGTGATAAAGAACTCACCTACCAATGCTGGAGACAGAATTGGGTTCGATCCCTGGGTCTGGATGATCCCCCGGAGAAGGAAATGGCTACCCACTCCAGTAGTCTTGTCTGGGAAATTCTACTGACAAGGAGCCTGGCTGGCTACATCCATGGGGTTCCAAAGGGTCAGACACGACTGAGCATGCACACACGCATGCACACACATCCACAGAACAGAGTATTATAAACTATAAAA